GAGTACTGGTACCAAATGCTAACGTGACGTCTAGACTTTTTGGATGCTGGGTTATGATATCGCAAGCATGCAGAATCGCATGTTTTCCGCCATCATTCTCATCTTTTTTGTGCCCCCAACAGTCGTGAACTCGGTTGTCCTGAAGTTCTTCCAGAACAGAGACCTCTGGGAAGACCGCGAGTTGCCGAGTCGCACATATGGTTGGGTTGCTTTCTGCACCGCGAATGTTGTCTGCGAGATTCCTATGGCCATTGCCTCCGCTACTATCTACTGGCTTCTGTGGTACTTCCCAGTTGGCTTCCCAGCAACTGCTTCCATTTCAGGGTACACCTATCTCATGGTCCTCGTCTGGTCACTGTTCCAGTCAAGCTGGGGACAATGGATCTCGGCCTTCGGGCCGTCGTACTCGACGGTGTCTAATGTGAGTTTGTCCTTCAGCTAGCTACGGCGCGTTTGACTAACAATGTACCAGATTCTGCCCTTCTTTTTCGTGATGGTTGCCCTCTTCAACGGTATCCTAGTACCATACGACTCCATTCCGGAGTTTTGGCGGTACTGGATGTACTACATCGTGAGTCTCTCCAGTTCAATCCCACGAGTAAGCCGAATTCTGACCCATCATCTAGAACCCGACGACTTGGTTCACTCGCGGTGTTCTCTCCGCCGTACTTCCCCCGGCCGCCGTTCAGTGCGCCTCTGCGGAATTCGCACGCTTTAACCCGCCGCCTGGGTCAACCTGTGGCGAGTATGCGAACAACTTTGTGACGCAAGTTGCTGGCACCGGATACCTCGAGAACCCCAATGCGACTTCCAACTGCGGCTACTGCCCTTACAACAACGGTGGAGAGTATATGAGAACACTCAACGTCTTTCTGACCGACAAGTGGCCCTCATTCGGCATCTTGATTGCATTCGCAGTGGCCAATTGGGCTTTGGTTTACTTCTTCGTGTACACGGTTAGAATTCGCAGGTGGACTTTTGGGGTGTCTACCGTGGCTAAAGTACTGTCGGGCATTGTTCACAAGTTCAGGGGCGGGAAACAAAAAGAAGCGGAGCACGTTTGATTGCGTCTCCATTGCTTGTTAAGTGGGACGGAGTCGGCTCTCGTCAACAAATCACACCGAGCGGGGCTCAGCCCCGTTACTCCCCTTGGTGTAGTTGGTTCATCACGTTCGACTGTAATGGTATATCCACATCCATCGAAAGGTCTCTAGTTCGATTCTGGAAGGGGAGAACCTCTCTTTTTGAATTTTGGCCGCCCTTTGATTCAGTGTGACAGTATGTTTTTGGGTCGGGCACTTGCACTGGGCCTGAACCAACTCACAGCTCCACGATGTGAATGCAGACATATGAAACTAAAGGCCCTTACTTTCTTTTTGACCTACTGGATCTAGCAACACCTCCACTACCTACAAGCCGTAGTTTCCGCACAAGCCCTTTTACTCGCAATCAGCGCTAGCCACAATGTCCAGCTCATTGGGCGGGATCTCTATGGCACACTTCCCATTCGCATTGCAAGTTCCCTTCTGCTGGAGATTCGCAACGCTCCCAGTGCATGGCTGACCTTGCTTGCCGCTCGCCTGGGTGTTGCCCCCATTTCCTCTAGCAGGTGCTGCATCACGATTTCATCAGTGATTTTGCTTAAAACTCAAGTGTCCGCAACTGTTGGCAGCTCCTTACAGGCAAGAGTCTGGCTGACCATGACGGCAACGAGAAAAGTGGCGACAGAGGAGAACTGCATATTGACGAAAGGTTGTGTATGGGACGTGTTATACCAGATAACAATTCTGAAGAAGGCTGCTTTTAGGTTGATGTAAGGAAGCTTAGATTAAGGTTGCTTGTTTTAGGCTTCGGGTGGGAGCCGGCGACCTCTTAAATGGCGAAGCTGAAGTCAAGCTCCGTTGTCAACCAAGATGACGGGCACGATAAAACTTGCGAACCTATTATCGGATGGCGTTTTGACAGTTTCTGATGCACCTCAGTTCCAATTCTGGGTTTCGTATCTATGTCGAAGGTGTTGACTTGGTTTGATCGGGTTGAAGTCCAGTCCGACTCCACGTACGTCACGACTTGTCGCCAGAGTAGCAAGCTCCGCAATAAAGCTTCAGGACCTAGGTTCTTAGAATGGGAGGTTCAATAGACTGACTCATTATTTGATGAGACATGTCTCGGAAGGTGCAGTCTTATTGAAGCAATTTAATATTACAAGATGGCAGCGCACGCAGAAGAACTGGATTAGTACACTTGACTTGTTTGTAATGACCATTGCAAGGCCCGTGCAAGTCACTGAAATGACCTCGCTTATGTGAGTCGTCTCACGAGTATGTGTCATTGTGCAGCTGGTATTGACCGGGGAAAGCATGAACCTCATGTTTCATGTGTCACCTATGCACCTGTCACTCGGAAAAGTTACCATAGTTAAGATGGAGTCTCCGAACTTTCGATTGTACAACGACAAGATCAAATTATATCGATGGTATGTTGCCCCTCGCTGTCAACCTCAATGTAATGTTGCGGACTGAGAGTTTGAAGACGTCCCTCGAATGCATCTTGGAGTTTGGAGCCTGGATAATGGCTCTCGAATGGGATGATGAAAACTCCTACCCTTTTGTACGTTCCCCGTTCAGGTATTCTCAGCAAGATCAGACCGCGTTCCGTAGGTCTTTCCACGTCCTTCCCTGTAACAACATGCAGCAAAAGGAATTCATCCGATCTGAACTTTCGAGCGGTGTCCCAGCACATGACTATAGATTTGCCGCTGTGAAAGTAGGAGTCGACGAATTCCTCAAACACGACGTGGCGTGTCACTTGGATCCAGTGAGTGTCTTGATGTATGAATCGGCGAACCCTGCAGACCGGTCCGCGAATACGAAGGCAACAAAAGTCGGTGCTTTCAAACGGATTTGGTGAGCTGCGTTTTGTGTTGATACTGAAGACTTTGGTAGTCGATGAAAGTATGGAAAGGCCAGGAGTTGCAATGGGTGCCATGATAGATGCCCAAGACCATGAAGGCGCGTGCCTTCTCTCAAGATCAGTCTCATCTGCTTCAGAACCGCTCATAGACATTGATTCTTGGGTCCAGATTAGTGACAGAGGAAGGTCATCAGCCCACATCCCGGCCAGATATTGCGACGAAGGTATCTCCATTGCTGAGCAGAATCTCTTGGCCACCGCCGATATTGCAAGGAGATAATCATGAGCGAAAGTCAGAGAAGTACGAGAGTACATCATTACAAGATGATACCATCGCGATTTCATCTGCGCTACCTCGTATGTTCCTGGTTTGATTCCTAAGGCCTTATCGAAGCCTTCGAGCTGGAGATTCAGTAGCCCCGCAGGCAAGGTCTCTGATGCTTCGAGCGACCAGCACTCCCAGAAGGCCTGTTCTTTGGTGAAATGAACGATACGCGGTGCTAGTGTTCTTTCTTGAAACACCCAGCCCCGTCGATTTAGCGGCCCCTCCCACTGACGAAGCAACCGTTTCTCGCGGAATACTAGCAGCAGCATGTTTTCCTCCGTTGATAAAGTATTGGCAGTCGCAATACAAGGGTTCGTTCGTAGGGTGGCACGATCAAATGTTAAGCCTTGATAGACGTCCCCTTCTGTGGCCGAGATGTTGAGGGTTGAGTTGGAATAAATATTGTCCATCTGCAAAATCTCAGCCGTCCTCTCGAGTTCATCGTCTTGCACGATGCAAAGCGCGTCTATCCAGATATAGCGGAACCCCAAAGCTCTAGTAACGTGTATTGCATGTCTAAAAACGGCGGTTTCCTCGCAACTCAGAAGATAAACAGAGAAGTCTTCTGTGAGCAGAGAGTATGTTTTCTCGGTGAGCAGCATGCTTGGAGGACTTCCCCATCTATGGCTGAGAGTGAGGTACTCGGTGTCTAGTGGCAATGCCTGTGCTGAGACAACGCAAATTCCATGAGATTTGTCGATACTGAGCTGATCGAAATCCGACTGGTTAATCTCCCCCGTTGGGTAGCTAGTCACCGCCGCAATCGGCCCAACGTCTACTAATCGTGAAGGAAGCCTGCCTGATCCTTTGGGGCTGGCGCACTTTCTATGAGACGAGAGGCAATCTTGAAGCCACGATCGCAGCCGATTGAGTGTTTCTAGAGACCATATCTGAGACGAGCGAAGAATTCGGATGGTTCCATGTCCAGCTGTACACATGTCAGCTTTGTGCATTCTACCTGTGGACCACAACTAACCGCCCTGCACCCGCAAGGAGCCTGTGAAGTACTTTTGGAACCCTGGGTCCGCATCATCAATCTCTTTGAGTCCAATACTGACTGCTAAGGAGTCATGCTGGGTTCTGGAGGCTCCGAATATCAGGCGCTTGCCGGCCGACAGCGGTGCAGCAAGGTGAGGTATATCTGCATGTAGTAGCACGCACATATGGCAGCTCTGGTAATTCACATTGGCTAGAAGACGTGACTGATATCTGTCATCATATTCAGTCGATAATTCTCTCTGACTGGACGATGAAAGAATGATGGCTGCATGTTGAAGGAGACTGTCGCAGTCGTCACACGTGGAGTGAAGCTGGGGGTGTGACATGTCAGTATGCGGAAGGGAGGGAAACGAGTGTGCCGTGAAGAGGAATCAGGAACAAGTTTAATGCCGCACCAAGTGAACGCGAAGGATGAACCGACCTTATGCAATGTCCCCACGCTGCAGGACGACGTGGCCTGGGTTTGTTTAGATTGGTTCGGCAAAGATTCGCCAAGAGTAAGCTCAACTGCGCCTACTTAGGTTATTCGTAACCCAAGTACTCAGGCCGTTTAATGCTGCTCTCCGCCATCATACGCATGGGCATGTCAGCAGGTATGACATGGAACTTTGGTTTTTCTTCTGCTTATGCTGTTACTGCCACGTTCAAAGCGATCGACATAGATCATGACCTAGATTGATCACGGAGGTTGTTGTCCGTTAAACAACGCTTCTATATGAACATGTGCCATAGCTACACAAAAAAAGACAAAATAAACGTGATCCGAGTATGACAGGACTCGAACCTGCAACCACGGCCAACTTGGTAATGAGATACCGGAAGACCGCACGCTAGCCATTGCGCCACATACCCGAAGGTGGATCGATTGTCGATGGTCGCGGTTGTTACTTAACACAGCTGCTCCACTGTTGGTGACGGAGAGGTATCCATCCGGTCTTCGGCGTGGGGCTGTTGCGCGATGCTGGCATTGACAGCTTTGAAGTCGCCATACGTTGAGTATGATTAGGATGAATCACTTTCACGTGAATTCAAACTCCGAGGAAATTCTGCTAGTGAAGTAAAGCCAACTTAATTTGTGCCATGTGAAAAGAATTGAAATGAATCGGTTATCGCTATGTCTAATGCCCCTTACCCCGAAGTTTAACGCCGTTCGCTTTTGGTCGTCCGTTGGTTTTGACCAAGCCATGCAGTCTGCTCATCCAAGCGGCCGTAGTGCGCATCTACAACCTCTTGCTTCAAATAATCCAATCGGTGTCCACAACGCGTCCACTTCACATCATGTGGTGTCGCTGAGTCGTCACAGCATCCTCCCCAGCAGTCCCCGATGCGGTCAATGAGCGACTGGAATGGCGCGCTCTCGCTGCGTCGGCTGCGGTCGATAATGTTCAACATGGTCGGGATCGCAACCTCGTGGAACAAGTCCGCGCAACCGTAAACGTAAGAAAGGAAGATAAAGTCGGCGAAAAAGCGGCGGGGGATGTAGTAAATGTCCGACCAGCCTACGCAGAACTCATCCTCAACGACGTCGTATCCGCGGTTCATTCGAATAATCTCGCCGTTGACGGTGACGGCCTTCTCGTTCCACTTGTGGTACCATCCCCACCATTGAGGAAACTTCTGCCAGTCGTTCATACACATGTACCTGGGTCCATCACCCTCAAACTGGCGCGTGTTATGCGAAGTCGGGTACCAGATGGACTGCCGATTCTCGTCAACCCAGCCCAAGGGATCGATCCAGGAGTCAAAATGGAAGTACATCAACCCCTCAATATCCGGTTGCTCGTCCAAGATAAGCTTCATCGTATGCGCCACTTGCATATAAATCGTTTCATGACGGTCGTATTGCGAATGCGTGAGGTTGTGGTAGGTCTTCGGCTTGTCCTCCATGACTTCCGGCATGGAAATGTGGACAGTGTGGAAGAAGGGCTTGTACTTCATGATCAGAGGCACACGCTCCATGCGCTTCGCGTTCCAGCGGACCATGGCCAGAGTGTTGCTAAAAGGCGAGGCGGTAAGGTTGCCTTCGCCAGCTTGAATTTGGAAAGGTTCCTTCTTGTCCGTGAAAGGCCGAATTATATCAGCCGGCGGTGTCAAGCAGTGGCCATCGGTGTCGTCCCTCATGACAAGTCGATACTCGGGCGTGTGCGGGGGCTCGGCGATGGTTGCGAAGGGTACGATGCCAGCGCCGGTAACGCTGGCCAACGTCAGGAGGCTGAACTTCAGCTTCTAGTACAATGTAAGCAAACTTGTCAATACTATGTGACTCTGTATCAAGACACTTGCCTTTGATGTGCCTACAGAGTAAGCTGGCGCTCGGTCCTCAGTAGGCGTCGGCGCGCTGTAGTCTTTCAGGGGGCTGAATTTCAGGTAAGCCAGCGAGGCAACGAGTATGAGCGCGGTGCCTGGGATGATGAAGTAGCTGTATCTGACGGGCGTGTAGCTCATTGAAGCCAACAGTAAGATAATCGTAGTGGCGTCGTTAGTGAACCATCTGGCCCAGGAGTCGATGTCTAGTAAACTGAGGTTAGCAAAGAAGCGCGGCATACAAAGGCCTGACCACAAGGCAACTCACGTTTAGAGGCAACAGTAGAGATCAGACCTAGCAGCGTCATCATGATGACAACTGAAATGCCTCTGTTGTTGTAACCGTCGAAGAAGCCTGGCTCCATCAGGTTGGCGTAGCGTACAAGCGCATGTGCGAACAGGTTGAAAACAACACCAAATGCGCCCAGGATCATATTGGATGCATTGGAGCCCAGCTCGGTGTTCTTGAGCAACTTCTCTCCGTAGATGTCAGACAAGGAGCTGAAAGCGGACTGTGCTACGAAGGCGAAATAGAGATGCAACTGGTATGTCGAAGCTCTCGTGCGATGTTGCGGGTAAAATTGTGAGAGGACCAAGCCTGAGGTCTGTAATTGTTAGTAGCCTTTTTGCCGGGAGATACTAAAACCGCATACCTGGATTAGAAATGCCATCCACCTTGTCTTGGGCCCTCTCAACCCAAACGCTGGCGTCGCGAAGAGAGCGGCGCCAATCGCAATGCCGCTCTTCATCAGTTGGACAGTTCCAGGGTCGGCCACTAGATAGTTGAGGAACAACTGGTTGGCAGAGATGTCACGTTAGCTTTCTTCATGCGCAACAACTGCATGGTAGGTAGAGCTCTTCCAATCATACCAAGTTGCTGGCAATCATCTGCAGAAGCGCGATCCTCGCAAAAGCAAATCTGATCTCCGCACCCGCATCTCTCCAGACGAAGCGCCACAGCGCCCTTGCACCTCCAATCTTTTCATGCGCTGAAACTTTCTCGATGTTGTATTCGAGCGACGACCGTCCGCTGTCATAGTTGTCGAGATCCAGCTCTTCCGATTCGCCGAGCGAAGAATACTCGGTACCATTCGCCGTTCGTCTGCGCAGTTCGCGCTTAAATAGGATCGTCGAAATCAGAAACCTCAGGAACTCGGAAATCGTCAACGCAGACGTCGGAGAGAAGTTGAATTGCCCTCGTTCGCGGGCGTCGAAGATGTTTGCTGCCGAGCCGGCTTGGAAGAGGACGAGCCCGAGCGCTGTGAGACACGGGACGAGCCCGGAGCCGGAACCGGTGAACGCCAGCGCCCGGCGCAAAGTCGACCGGACCGCCATGGCGCAAGGCGTAGAAAGATGCGAAATACGGCGCGGTGGGTGTTTCTCGGATGACCGTCGCTTCTCGATCTCGCGGAAGGGTCTATTTGCGCGGGCGAGGGATCATGTTTTCGCAGAATCGATCCAAGTCGAGTCGCTGGCACAGAAAGGAAAAGGACAGACCGCTTGGCAGCGACCTGCGAGTCGCGGCGGGGGGATCAGCATGTAAAAGAGACCCCGGCTTCACGGTTCGTACGGGCACTTGAGGTGGCATGCAAAACCGGGGACTGGCAGGGAATCAAGCTCTGGCAGGGCGATGGTTCTGCAAGGGCCAGCGAGAGAATTGTTAAGAATAACTCGCGACGGTGGGGGGTGAAGATGCGCTTGTCAGGGGTAGATAGCGGCTGTTTTGCAGGACATCAAGGAACCTTCCATTGCGACGCGGATCCTCTCTGTTAACAGATTGATTAGGGTCGCAGTGCGTCAGTTCGCATGATCCCTGAGAGACCTTTGAAAAAGCGCCGCCAAGTGGACCGAAAAGATATGGTTGTCTCCGTTTAAGCAAACCTTCTCCTGTGGGCTGCCGAAGCACTCGGCAAGTCCATTTCGCCCACTATCAGGGCAAATGAGGATGAATTGTCGGTAACTCTGGCAGAGAACATGGCCAGTAATATTCAACACCGCCATGAGGCGTCGTAGGGCGCGAAGGTAAGACAGGATAGAAAAAAAATCTCTCCCAAAGAACGTTGGCGCGCCGCGCGTCCTGTAACATGTTCTCCAAATCGAACAATGCGGAGAAGCTTCACTGACTGTGCTGCATGGCATGGTCGATGGTGGCCTTTTCCCTCCCTCTTGAGACTGAAGAGGCACGTGTTGGACCTTAGCATGAGTCGCAACGGGTGCCGCGGGATGGCACTTCAAGGGCACAGCCTGCGCCAGAAAAAGTGAGATGCGCAACCGAAATGTTAGTCTGCTCTCAGCGGACGCATCCAATTGGCCTGTCTTATCATTGAAGACTAGGGCCTGGATACGCAGTACCAATTTGGGCTCGTTTGAGGGGGCTCCATGTTCAGCACGGTTCAGTATGGCGTAGCCGTGACGGAATGTAGCGCTGAAAGAGCGTGTTCAAGGGGGAAAGGACCCGTTGAAGAGCGGAAAAGTAGGGCTACAGACTTTCAGTCAGGAAAGCACCGCTGGTCCGTTCGCTGTCTTGGGCTGAACTCTTGCTGATGGCAGGGCGGCAAGAAGCGATGACTCCAGAGGAACTCTGCCCTCTTCATCTCAAAATCTGGGATCAGTTGTTCGTCGCACTGCGCTTATGGATGGACTTTGATAGCTTGGCGGCGGCTGTAAATTGCTGAGCCTCTCCATATTCATCGGGCGGATTGCGAACCTTGGCTCATCACATGAGAGACGGGCACATGTTCCTGTGCCTCTGCCCCGCATAAACCCATGCTTCCCCCATTCCATGAAGACATGCGTAGCGATGCGTTCCTGCAGCCTGTTGAACAATAGAAAGCTTGGTGTTCTCACGGCACGATCTGACTGTTGAGGTGGATGAAGGTAAGTTGTAGATTTGACCGCAGTTAGCAGATCACGCTTGGGAGTCCGGTGTTGGAGTGCTGAGTCGTGGTCGCGTCTGCACGTATCCGTAGCTCGGATTAGTAGCGCAAGCAAAAGTCCCATTTCCCGCCATCTATTCTACCCCCATCTCCGCTCAGTGAGCTCTGCAATTACATGATCACTACAATGCCCCCAAAATGATGCCAAGAGCTTTGCCGCTGCCAGACATGACAGAGGCCGGCCAGACGGACCCCCTGCGTTACCACTGCAATGAAACCAACAACGCTCAGTCAAGGCCGACAGCAGCGCAGCCTTCACACCCACACAATGAAGCCACATCTGCTCTTGCGACATGCGCCCGGTCACGCTGTCTGTCGACCGACAATTGCGGCTTCTGGCCCCTGCCAGACACCACGGTGCATCAGACCCCCACAAGCCGACACCATTCGAAGCGAAACTTTCCAGCTCTAGTACCGCAGGTTGGTCCAGATAATTGACTTCCGCTTACATTTCGGTGTTCGCCGTTCCACTTGATCGGCGGATAAGTTTTCCATTTTCATTTGTTTGATCTTGACAGCTCTGCGATTCAGCTGAGTTCTGTTTCTCAGCTGCCAGAACTAGTACAGGAGCTGAGATGAACCCACCTCATATTATTTCTGGTTGCTCACACG